GTGGCTGGCAGTGTGTTCATGTAAAATTCGCCCCGACGCACGACGTGCGTAAAACTTCCGAATTTGACTATGCTTCCTTCATGAAAGTTGTAGATAATGAAGTTCTCTACGTACCACAACTTGCGGAATTGGATTTGAATTATCCAATCAAAAGATATGAATAAAATGGCGGAAGGTCACATTCTGAAATCGCAACAGAGATCATCTAACTTCATCGTCTGTTTTCACCTTGCTCCTCTCAGATTCTCAGAATGGAGTCTTCATATTATTTGTAGCCCTTGAAGTTAGATTTCATGTGGAACTTGAATCGTGTCTTTTGTATGTTTCTACAAAGAGATATGCTTGAACGATTGACAGAAGGTCATCTTGATCGTCGTTTTTAAGCTATATACGTCTTCTTTTGATCCTGTAACCAATTCTAGAGCTCTTTTGTCTTCAAATATTCATCGCAAACCTCCCGCTGACCTCCAAAGCTCTCGAAACACTCTCGAATGCTTCTCATCTCGTCCCAGTTGCTTCTCAAGCCAGGGGCGGAGGCAGAGCACTAGGCCGGACTGGGCCGGTACAAAGAATATTTTTTGAAAAAAATTTTACCCGAAATTTTTTACCTTAAAAATTAAGCCATTTTTTAAATTAGGGGTAGGCCAGGGCCTAGGTTGGCCCACCCCTAGCTCCGCCCATGTCTCAAGCGCCGGTGTCGGGCTCAAATTCCCTGATTTTGACTCCAAATGACACAAAACTCGAACCAATGCCTAGTAAACATAATTTGAGCTAAAATTGAGACTTGCAACACCTTAAAGCTAGGAAATGCATCAAAAGCCGATCCCAATCACGCATCAAATGCTTGTCTAAATACGGACTTATCACACACACACACACTCCGAACTTTATATAAAAAGTTAATTTCACATCATTATTAAATGCTTTACAAATACAGATTTGTTGGAATAATTATATAATTTAAAATACCTTAAGCCTTGTTAGAATGCAATTAACATTCTATAATTTTATTCGTGAAATAAATAATATAACATCTGGTACAATTTAATTTTAATTGCATCTTCATAAATGTTTTGTGTATTTAAAATTATGTACTTAACACCATAATGGTGCATTTATGAAAAATATATGGTCATGTTGCTAACATAGCATTTATGTCACACCCCTTCAAAGTTTGGGATATTTAATTTTTTCCCTTCTTATTATAATAAAAAAAAGGAAAAATTCAAAATAATAATTCTACTATTATCGATCCGTTCACAATAATTCTGAATATATATTATTTCTATATAGTCCCAACTGTATGACTTGTTGGCCAGTAATGATCGATCTATGATTGTTTATAACCACTTATAGCAATTCATGTTTAAATAGAAACTACATGTATTCTATAAATAATTTGAACTATGCACATTTTTCTTTTAATCATGTCAATCATTCACACAATTTTTTTTACAAGGCGTAGAAAATATTATAAAATTTTCAAAATTTTGGATTTTATAATATGTAAATTTAACTAAATGTAAAAGTGTGTAGTGCCTTAGAAAATAAAAAATATTCGGAGTACATTTTATTTCATATTTTTATCTTTAGAAAAATATTATTTCTAGTTTTTGGGAAAAAAGTATTTAGGTCCCATTGCAAATTCACGATTTTGTATTGATTTTGAACTAATTTTTAAATGATTTGATATTTTAATTAGGATTATTAGCTTTTAACTTTTAAATAGTTAATAAAAAATTATTATCTCTTAAATTGACATATTTTTACCCTCCTTATTTATATATATAGATACCATTTCTATTTATAGGAATGGAGAGGTAGATTATTCTACTATAATGGGCCTCAACACGGGTTTAGGTAATAGGTTATAGAGATAGCATGAGAATATATGAATGGACATATGGTACATGACAGTTGAAGTATAAAGTAGCACCGGTTTAAAAACATTAAACATCATTTGTATAATGCATGACATAAAAAAGTATAATGCATGCAATGACATACTCAATGAACTTAATTATAAGTAACACATTCAGCGTTGTGTACATATTTACAACAATGACTTTGATCAACCGTAGCAACTTCATAGAATTCAAAACTGGGAAGAATGCTGGAAGCCTCAGAAACCAACAAACCAATAAACACGATTATGTATATCATAGCAACAAAAATATGTCTCTTATGGTTGCAATATTATGCGTGATTATTGTTCTAATAATATTGTTCCCCTCATCGCTTAAAAAAGTATATACTTTTATTGAAGGTAAATATTAGTGTATAGTGTGTTGTTATGGTGTTGCTTGACAATGTCTTGTACCATTTTCTTACCACCCAGAGGGTCTGAGTAAATAGGGCTGAAATTGCTTCAATAGAATTTTGAATCCAAAACCTTCCGTATGGCAGAGTAAGTCGACGACTATTTGAGCTGAATCACTTTCTCACGTGTTGTTACTCTTATAGGGTAATTATTATTAATACTACATTAGTACTATATAGGAATTTATTTTTTGAAAAAAAATGTGTGGTGTCCAAGTTGTCTCTCGTTCCGCTCTTTTTTGAATGTCCCAAAATGCATACATGAAGTTTAAATAACGTCTCATATAATATAACACTTCACGTAATGTGTTTCTACCAGTAACGATGTTTTTTTTATGAAAATGCAATTCATATATTTTACATAATCATTATATTCATGCAAATTAACTCGTATACTCAAGACTATTTAGTTAGGTTTATTTACGGGCAAAGATCGTGTTGCATATTTTTAATTAAATACGTAGTATTAAATGTTTGAAAAAGCAGGCCTATTTTATATATATCCAAGTTAGTAAATTTAAAATTACTTAACATGCTCCATGCATTACAAATGGAAAAAGTTACTTTTGACAACCAAAGAACCACTACAAGAATTCCGGAAAATTGTGGCGGAATTTAGTGACAAAATACTGTCCGTCACGTTTTTATGACAGAAATTAAAGACATATAACTATGCTCCACAGATGCGTGACAGATATGCTGTGTCGCTGTTCAGTGGCGGAATTTAGTGACGAATCAATCTTAGACAATAATTTCTGGCTGCTTTTTGTGGCTGAAATGTCGTCACAAAACAATGGCGGAATTACGCTGTCACTAAATTCCGTCACTGAATTAAACATATTAAATTACACCCACCAACCAAAGTCATTGTGCACAAATATCTCATCTACCACTTTCTTTGTCTACGAGCTCTCTTCAATCTGCCATGTCCATACCAGAGAGGTAAGAAATTTATTTTTTCTTAATTAAAATTTAAATCTTATGTCTTCTTTTGAGCTAATTCTTAATTACTGATTAAGTAAACTTATTATTACATTCTTTGTTAGCCTCTTGTGATCCATTTATTTTATGATTAATTTATGAAGACAAATGACATATATGCATTGTGTGCTTGGTCCATGTAGATGCTAAAATGCAATGACACGGTGTTTAACAAATATTATAATACTTGTTGTACGTGTTTTTGTTGCTAGGATAGCTTTTAAATTTGTAGGAAAATTTCTAATTAAATAAATTTAAGAACTATAATAAAATTAAACATTGTTGGTTATTGTTTAATTTTATATTAATTGAAAGATCAATAATTGAATTTGTTGATCTATTATTGATAAATTGTTGATAAGAAAGTAGTCACGAGCTTTTGAAAATTCCTTAAATTAATTTCGTTTACTATGTGAAGTGAAGAAATAATATTTAATACTCCGTATCATTTTATATGTTTAGATTTCAAAATGAGCAATAATAGGTCTTGGATGTATGAAAGACTCGGAAATCGAGGGTTTCTAAATGAAGACTTCAAAAATGGAGTTAATGAGTTTATTCAGAAGGCGGTAAACTTATATCCAAGTGGGGTGATTGCATGTCCGTGTAGAAAGTGCAAGAATAGAAAATTGTTGACTTGGGATATTGTTAAACAACATCTATTTGAAAAAGGATTTGTTGAAGACTACTATGTATGGGGAGCGCACGGAGAGACATATAATTCAAATGGGCTAGTTTATTTGGATGAAGGTAGCTCTTCCCGTCATAATACATCTGAAGTTCCATATGACCCATATAAATCGATGTTTGAAGATGCTGTTAGGAATGAATTTCCTATCGGTACACCTGATGATATGCATGTGGACGATGAGGAGCCTAGTCCAATGACAAAGAGCATGTATGAAATGCTTGCTGCGACAAGTCAACCATGTTTTGATGGTTGTCCAATGACGGAGTTGAGTGCCATGACTGAATTGTTGAACTTAAAGACTGAGATGAACTTATCAGAGGCTGCCACTGACAGAATTGCTCAACTTGTGAATAGGTTTTTCCCAACACATATCTCCAATCGGCCCATCCAGAATTTCAAGAAAATAAAAAGGAAACTCAAACTATTAGGAATGACCCATCAATCTATTGATTGTTGTCCAAAAGGGTGCATGATCTATTGGAAAGCAGACAGTGAACTAATCAAATGCAAATTTTGTTCTAGTGCAAGGTATGAGGTCAATAATCAGTCAAGTAAACCAATCCCGCTTTCCAGGATGGAGTATTTTCCGATTACTCCAAGACTACAGAGGCTTTATGCCTCAAATACAACTGCTGAGGATATGAGATGGCATAAAAGTCACCATAGAGAAGAAGGAGTGATGCGGCATCCATCAGACGGGAAGGCATGGATTCATTTTGACAATCTTTATCCATCTTTTGCCGAGGACCCTAGAAATGTTAGACTCGGTCTATGCTCAGATGGGTTTCAACCATTCGGGCAATTTGGACAGAAGTATTCATGTTGGCCTATTATCGTGACACCATACAACCTGCCTCCAGGTATATGTATGAAAAAACAATTTCTGTTCTTATCCATATTGATTCCAGGACCAAAGAATCCCACAAATAGGATAGATGTTTATTTGCAGCCTTTGATAGAAGAGTTGAAGCAATTATGGGAGGTTGGGACTGTAACGTATGATGCACTTTCAAAGGAGCTCTTTAATATGCGAGCTTCTTTGCTTTGGACAATTAGTGATTTTCCAGCATATGCCATGCTCTCTGGATGGAGTACGAAGGGGAAATTTGCATGTCCGTGTTGTACTGAATTTACAGAAGCATTCTGGTTACCCCGCAGCAAGAAACATAGTTGGTTTGATAACCACCGAAAGTTCCTAGCAGAAGATCATCCATTTCGATGGGACACCGAGAACTTCACTAAGGGTAAAACAGTCATGTATGGCCCTCCATTATATAGAGATGGTTTATATTGTTATGGTGAGATGGATGCCCTAATGTCTGTGACCGAATTAGGCAGTTTGGAACACAACAAAGTGGTTGGAAAGGATATTGGGTGGAAGAAACGTAGTATCTTTTGGGATCTCCCATATTGGAAGGATTTGCTTCTACGCCACAATCTTGATGTAATGCACATAGAGAAGAATTTCTTTGAGAACATATTTTACACAATTCTGGGTGTGCCAGGGAAGTCAAAGGACCATACACGAGGGAGAATGGATATGGAACAGATTTGTCATAGACCAAGTATGGAGATGGACCGTGATGGAAAATATCCCAAGGCTCCTTTCACGCTTTCAAACAAGCAAAGAGAAGTTTTGTGCAGTTGGGTTGATTCACTTAAGTTCCCCGATGGATTTGCATCTCGATTAGGGCGTTGTGTAGAAATGGAGAACCTTAAGGTATTCGGTATGAAAAGTCACGATTGTCACGTTTTTATGCAACGTCTACTTCCAATTGCATTGAGAGAAATGCTACCTTCTTGTATTTGGGAGGCAATTACTGAGATTAGTTTATTCTTTCGTGAGTTAACAAGAAAGACTGCACGAGTTTCGGTCATTGAAAAGCTAAAGGATGATATTCCTATCATTTTATGTAAATTGGAGAAGATTTTTCCACCCTCTTTTTTTGATCCCACGGAGCATCTTCCCATACATTTGCCGGACGAAGTTTTGCTAGGAGGACCACCGCAATATCGATGGATGTATCGCTTCGAAAAGTTAGTGTTTAACTGTTTATATTTTTAGTTTTTTGCATAATATATTATTGTGTTATTCATACTCTTAATCTTAATTGTTCATATTTAACCAGTTTTTTAGGGTCAGTGTTAAAGAAAAAGATCGGCAACAAGGCTAGAGTTGAAGCCTCGATTAGAGAGGGTTATTTGCTTAGTGAAATGGGTACATTTGCGAGCTACTACTTCCCGGAGGAAGTCACCACAAAAGCACGTGGTGTCCCGAGATTTGATGACGGTTTTATGATTAATGATGATGTCGCTGCTTCCATTTTGCACAAAAGGCAAAAGCAATTGGTGCAAGCACACGTCGGTACATGGACCAAAACGAATCCAACGCAGTGCATTCCTATGTACTACAAAATTGCCTAGAGATCGACTCTTTCCGGGAGTAAGCCATATTTAACCAATTATTAATTTGTTTAACTCAAATTATAGCAGTTCTAGTCTAATACTGTAGCCATTTTATTGCAGATTGTTCACGAATGCAACTGGATTAACAACCTCCGATGAACTTCAATTTCAAGCACAATTTCCGCTCTGGTTTTATCACTATGTGAGAGTTTAAAGTTTAGAATTTATTGTATTTAGTTAATAGACAAAATTTTGTTTTGGAAATATAGTTCTTGCTAACATTTATTAAACATATGCATTTACTTTAGGTGCGTAATGACACTATAGATCACCCACGATGGATTCGAGCTTTAGCTGGATTTCCTGCTCCATATGTGACGACATACCAAACACTTCATATAAATGGTTACAAGTTCAACACTATTGCACGATCTGAAGGAAGGGTGACCTGTAATTGTGGGGTTATGGTCAAGTGCACAAGTTATGATGGTTCAGGGCTTGACTACTATGGTTTAATACATGAAATAATTCAGCTAGAATATCAAGATTATAAGATAATCGTCTTCAGGTGTGAATGGTTTGAACCTTCAAGTAGAGGCACACGACGACATCCATTATACAACATAGTGGATGTGAACACACAACATCAACTTCGTACTTCAGACTGCTATATTTTAGCATCACAGGCAGATCAAGTTGTGTATGTGCCATATCCTAGTACAAAGAAACGAGTCAATAGATGGGTTTCTGTTATTCAGTGCATGCCACGGGCTTTTGTGGAGAGAGATTTGGAAGAAGATTCGACACATGAAGATGAAGAATTTCAAGCGTTTCAAGAAACCGAGTCCAGGGATTCATTCCAAATAGAGGTAGATGAACAACCATTTCCAATTTTAGGTCAACAACACATCGATGACCGTGATGATCATTCAGTTGTGTTCAATGCTCCGGAGAATATGGATGTTACATTAGATGGAGCATATGACATCGAGCACGCTGATAGTGAAAATGAAAGTGATCACGAAGAAAATATTAATTGCAATTGAGGTTTAGTGGTTTGTCCCGCCTATTTATATCATTTTTTGTGTGAATTGTGTGTTTTGCATGTCACTTCTTATATATGGAGTATTCCGGTCAGGTATAACTGATCGCAGTAGATAAAATTCTTCCCAAAAAATTATTTATTGTATACTACCTCCGTCCCATAAAATTCTTCCCACTTTCCTTTTTAGGCCGTCCCAAAATTTTTTTCCCACTTTCTTACACAACCACAACCACACATTTCCACTTTATTCCACTTTCTTAATTTCCGTGCCAAGTCAAAGTGGGAAGAATTTTCTGAGACGGAGGGAGTATTTAGGTTTGGATACTGATAAAAAAAGGTTTGGATACTTTTGAAAAGGGGCGGGTGTTTATAAATTTTGGCAGAAAAGGCCTCCCTCCAATTTTTAGCCAAATTAATTTGACATTTTCAATTCCCCCCAAAAATTTGACGGAAAACTCCCCCACTTCTAAAAAAAGCCACCAAATACGAACACTGCTCTCAAAACCCTACTCACCTCACCTCATTACACATATAACTCATCTTTCTCTTCCGGCCTTCAGCCTCAGCATCTCACAGATTCACGATTCATAGCAGCAGCCTCATCTCATCCCAACGGCATCATATCTCAATCGAACCAGCAGTCCTTCACTTCGTCCTAGAGGTATCTACTTTACCAAAAAGCTTTATTTGTACGGTTTATCAAGTTTGGCAAAATCTTTTTTGATAAATAAGTCTCAATGAAAATTACTTTTAGTCATGGGTATCTTGTAGCCTAGAGCTTTATTGTCTTGAAGGTTAGATAATGTTTTTTCCATCCGTGGTTAGATAGAGTACAGTGTCATTAGGTCATTGGATGAACCAGTGAATCACTACATCACATTTCAAAAAGCAGACTCCATCTCTGTTCTAAACATTAAAACAATTTATTAGATGTAAATTTTATTTGTTCCATTAACTATTCATGTCATTTAGCTTTTATTCATGTAACCAGTTGATCCGTTTTGTAATTAGCATTGAGACTTATTTATTTCAAGGATACCATTTTGTATGTGTTGGTTGTGTATCTGTTTTGAGTTACAGTTAGAAAGTGAAAGATCTTGTTTGCAAGTAAAAAACATTAGTTGCTTTGTAAACTTATGTAATGAGTACAAAGTGTTTGTAAAAATGTTACAATGAGAATTGTGTTATTTTGTAGGTTTTACTAGTATAACCTGCTCACTAAAGATTTTATGGTTTGGTAAAACATGTATTCTTTTGTTTATAATCTGTTTAAACATGACATTTCCCAGTCCTTTACTTATCATTAATTTGTTTTCTTAAATTCTACAACTGGGAGCACTGATTGTTTGGAGATATTATGTATTGTATTTTGTAATGAATAACATTATTTTTTTGCGGGTTTTAGAATATGATTCCTATTAGAGGTCAAGGTGTCACCGGGATGAACAAGAAAGCAGACCGCTTTTCACAAGAGACATCATCAGGTAGTTCGGGTCGCTCAACATCCTCTGCACCCTCCACTTTACCTAGGAGGAATACTACTCTCCACTCAACACTATCCCCTACCCATTCAAGACCATCTCTACCCTTCACTATTCCAGGCAGAAACTCTACTCCATACTCAACACCATCTCTTAGCCACTCAAAAAAGCATCAACCCTTGTCTAGTAAGGGCGGAAATATTACACCCCAAGCAGGACAGACACGACAATCTTCCCAACCGCCCCCGTCCCAATATCATTTACCTCGGGTTCCTAGCCCAAATATCACAGCAGTCACTAAGCGGCAACCCACCATTTCACCAACTCAAGGCCCTAATAAAGACCCTACTTTGCTCTTCAATCAAGACAGCCCGTCAACAACAACGAGCAGCAATGAACTAGAAGATAGTGACCCAACAACTCATTCCAATGGAGAAGATGAGCTAGGTGAATGGAATCCTGATGCGTACAAAGACCTCGAGTGGGGTGAAGAACCTTTGGACCACTTTAGATCTTTAGCTATAGCAAAATTTGAAAGACCCAATGTTGGGTTAAATGCTTCTAAAGTGTGAGTTAAATATTAAATGGTACTAAATTATACATTCTATCTTCTGAAATGTTATTAAAGAGTTATTGATAATAAATCAAAATGTTAATTTCATTGCAGACTTGTTAATATTGTTTCAAACAAAACAAGTTTGCGATTTCAAACAATTGCCTCAAGACAGATAAGATACAATCTGCATCCGGCTGGGCAACAATGGAAGTGGGTACCCCAGAAGACAAAGGATTTATATTGGGATCAATTCCAGGTTTGATCATTTGAGTTATAACCATATTTTTTCCTTTCAAATATCAATTACAGATCTATTCTTTATGCTTTTAATTGTAAGCTTTATTCAAGTAATTGAAGTTTAAGTTGTCTTTAACTTTAAAAAACTGTAACTAATTGTCTTTGACATATAAGATTTGCAAGTTTTCTGGATTATTTATTTTTATAATGATAAATAAAAGTCCATAAAGGTATGCAATTTATCATTAAATGCATATGATTTTGATACTAATTTATTAACTATTATTATATAAATATTGTATAAGTAAAAGTAAAAGTAACTTGTACTTTTAAACTCTCAATTTTGAGTACTAATATAATTCTCTTTGACATATAGGATTTAGTAAACTGGGATATATCCAAGTTCAAAGGTAAAGACATCAGGAAGGGTTACGAAAATTATCTTAAGCAACGTGCTTATTCGAATATAATGTCTAAAATCAGGTGAAACAATAAGTACTATTTCGTTTTATATTTCAATTTAACTTTCTATAAAAAGTGTATATTTTAAATGTTCCTATAACACTTTTGAATATTCAAGGGAGCGCCGGCCTTTAACTGTGAATGACTTCACTTGGGGAGTTGTGGAAGAGTTTCGTGGGTCTGCGACATTTCAAAGATTGTCCGAGTCTGGGAAAAAGAATCGGATTGCCGGTGGAGATAGATGCAAACAGTACGGAGGGTCTCGTTCTGCGGCGGATTTGGCTGAACAAGAGGTTTATTTCTAGAATTTATAATCTGTTTTTTATTGTATTTTCTTCACTGATTTCAAAATCAACTATTATTTTTGTAGTCAAGTGTTTCAGGAGAGGAAGTTAACCCTCTCAAAATCTGTGTAACTTATCATCCAAGAAAGAGAAAGAACGGAGAAGTAATTGACTACGGCTCACAATCAGAAGTTATGGTGTGTTATTGTTTCTCTACTCTAAGTTATTTTGATCTGCTGAGTATATTTTGAATTTTCAAAATTATTCCTGAAGTTATTTTCTCTCTGCTGCTTTCACCAAATTATAACATGTGCTTTGTTTCGTATTGCAAGCGTCCCCCATGATTTGGGATTGTAATTCTCTTCTATATTATGAAATGTAATTTTCCAGAAGCTCAAGTCTTTATTCTATGTGTTTGGATTAAATTGTTGCTGTTTTCATAGATCTCCAACTATGAACTGAACTGTTTTACTATTAACACTTATATTGCTTAAAACTGTTTTTACAGAAGCTCAAGTTCTTAAGTTGTTTATGGTTTTGAGCATGTTTCTAGTTCTTATGTTGTTTATGGTGTTTGAGCATGTTTTTTTTACAGATAATGAAGCTACAAGTTATTCTTGATTTTGAAATGTCATTTTGCAGAAAATCAAGTTCCTATTCTTTGCATTTGGGATTACTTTTTGCTGTTTGAAGGAAACTTCTAGTATAAACTGAACTGTTTTACTATAAGCACTTATATTGCTTATAAAACAAAGCTCAATTCCTTGTGTCGTTTGAAGTTTTTGAGCATGTTTTTATAGTAATTAAATCAATCCACGAGTTTTTCTGAATTTTGAAATTTGATGTTTTAGAAGTTCAAATCCTTAGAGAAGCTCCTAGTATGAGCAGAACTGTTTTACCATTAATACTTGTGTATTGCTTAATACTTATATTCCCTCTTTATATGCATCGAATTGTATTAATCTTTTTATCAAATTGCTTAGATGTTATAAGAGTTTGTTTGCTGCAAAATATATTTTTTGTCAACAGGAGGCTATTTTCGAGTTGTCTGATGAATTTAATGAGAACATTCAACAAGCTAAACAATCTGAAACTGAAAATGGGGGCTCCAATACTGCATCTAAAGCTGTAGTTGCTGAATTGAATTCCAAGTATTTGGAAATTGCTGGGGGTAAAAACAAAAAAGTATTTGGATTAGGAAAGTATGCAAAAGCTTTCCTTCAAAAATTGGAATCAAAATACCAAAAAGCTTCAGCATCTTCACAGCGTGCACATGAATTTTGTGTCTATTGGGATGAACACATGCGGAAGTGGTTATCTTCACAAGGCGAGGAATGCCCACCGGTAATGCCACTCGTGGATGAAAGCTTGCTAGATGAAGATCCTTGTTCACAGCCAAAAGCTTTTGAGCAAACATGGCTTCCATTTCTGAAAACACTTGGAATGGATGCACCAAGTTTTTTCCAGTTTACTCCATCATCCTCTCCACATTCTCAAAGCACTTAGTATTTGTTATTTCCAATTATATATCCAAGTGGTATCCATGTTAAGAATTTGCTTGTATTTCTGGATTGTAGTATGGCTTTACTTATGGTACTCACAATGACTATGAATGTTGGTGGTTAAAGTGTGTTTACTATAAAAGTTAAGTTTTTTGGCTACATACCCATATATATTTAATTATGCACTTTGTACATTATTGTGATACAATCACATACGTCTGGAGTACTCTGTTATTTTTTAAAAAATTAATGGCATATACAAATATAAAACTGGAGCAAACTGAATGTCTTATTTTTATAAATATAATTAATATAGTGGCGATATTTAATGACGAAATATCTGTCACGATTAACAACGACGGAATCCGTAGCCGCCGAATTTTGCCTTTGATTTGCGACGGAAGAGAATTTCTGTCACTAAGGCTTTTAGCCGCACGATTTCTGTGGCAGAATTTTCGTCACTAATATGCGTCGCTAATGTTGTTAATGACAGATTTATTGACAAACTTTCTGCCACTAAAAAACGAAAATTCTTGTAGTGAACTTAAGAACGTAACTCTGGTTCCAATTGGATCATCACTCTAAAGTAAAGTCCGATCCTTTACATGCAATGCATTGTTTTTGTGGTGTTACACGAGGTTTTCCAAGAATTTTTACATGCAACGTGCTCTGTCCACTTAAAATTGATAGAAGTTGACATGTTACGGTAAGTCTTCCAGTCCCTCAAAACATTTCTTAAATCATCCACTTTGGCCCTAATGGTCTTGCAACAATTTGCATGGACGGTGGACACCACAGATACATCATTACTGTCGCTGCAGAAGCCGCTAAAGTAGAGGACATCTAAGCAACGAACCACAAGCCCCATCTCCCTGAGCAAGCCTTTTCGACTCATCCGCGCCAGAACGTCTTGCTCTTTCACTTTGCTCTCTCTCAACTTGTACCAAGTCTTGAACATCCTTATGGTTTTATTGTTGGACTGTACGTAGTAGAAGCCGGTGTTGATCGGGTTGTGTTCTGACCATGGGTCACCGTTAAAAGCGTCTGTACTTATTTGCATATCATATGACATGTTGGTACTCAAACGTTTGAAAGGATTCCTCAGCCACATTATATCGGTGTCCTGTGTACGTGTCAATCAAACATCACATCAAACTAATACTATGTACTATCGTTGAGTGGGACACTTGTTAAGAAAAATAAGTTTATGCGGTTGATATTGAATTGATAAAATAAAAATAAAATATAAATAATTTAAAATCACACAAACTTTAACGAATTTGACATGAGACAATCTTAATACGGAGTAGCATTTTTTGAAAAGGAAAAATGGGACTTATTGGAACTGAGGGAGTAGCATTTATAGATTCACAAACAAGTAAGCTGGATAAATGTATCACTTAGAGCAACCACAATGCTATGCTTTCTAGTGAACAAAACGTGTGCCATGTCATCAATATAGACATTGTGTATTAAGTTTGGCTTCCAATGCACAGAGTCTTGTGATGAGTTGGCACAAAAAAATTAAACACCGTCTAGAAGACCGTGTGAGTGTAGAAAGCCTCCTCCACTTGCTGACTGGATCAATTGCACCTCAAAAAACTCATTTTCTCCTTCAAATAATACTGTAAATAATCCGGAGTATATTTATATACATCACACACAAACAACACACGACGGATGTAGTTGTATGGCCGCCGCCGGTCCCCTTCAAATAATACTTCGTAAATAATACCGAGTATATTTATATACGAAGTACATCACACACAAACACGCGACGGATGTAGTTGTATGGCCGCCGCCGGTCCGCCACTGGCCAGCCGCCGGTCCTCCGCCGGCCAGCCGCCGGTCCGCCGCCGACCAGCCGCCGGTCCGCCGCCGCATTTAGTGTTCCAGCTTCAGATCGGATGAATATGGCAACCTGAAGTGGAGGCCGGCGCCGACGTGCTTCCCGATTGTGAAATAGGCGGATATGGCAGATTTGGGCACATTTCAGCAAAGTTGAAATGGCTTTGAAACTAAAAAATCAACACATCAAGTCATCGAGGAGATGAGCGTGAATACCCACTGCAGTGCACGAAGTGTTGATAACTACCGGAGGAGAAAGAAGTACGCATCTGACGGAGGAGATGGTGGTAGATTAAAAGTTTCATTGAAAAATTTATTCCACGTGGCCCCTGAATTGAATTTTCACACTTTATGCATTGGAGTAATTTTCACTATTATAGTGTCCAGTCATTGCACTATACGTAGAAAGTATATTGATTATTTGACAATTGGCATTATTTACCTTCACTAGGAAATTAAGCATTGCGGTTGCTCTTATAGTGACACAATAAGTGTACTTTGATGACATGGACAATACAATTGTCACAGCTCGTACGTGGTGAAACATCATTAGCAGATGATGTAACCTCTCTCATCATTGGATATAATTTGACATATCATTCATGAATTTCATTTGTACTTAAAGATTTGTACATATAGCTTAGTTATGTAAAGTATTTCACACGATGAATTTATAGTTATATAAATGTTTTGCTCAAAGAAATCGTGACTCGGATCGTGATTTATGATAGAACGTAACTTGAATTGTTACAATAGTTCATTCAATCTTACATATCTAAGAGTTTGAGTTAGGCTGTTGGTCATAAAAAGAAGGGAAAAATAATAATAATACCCCAAACTTTGAAGGAGAGTGAGGTGAACACTCAAAACTTGCATATTTAATTTAAATACTCAAAACTTTATGTAAAAGGTTATTTTCGCACCATTGTCATGTAAAAGGTGTTCAATCCCACACCCCTCCAAAGTTTGAGATATTTTAATTATTTTTCCCAAAAAGGAAATTAACACTCTAGACGTACATGTCACCCCGTAGAATCTATTGTTTCATTTAGAATGGTTGAAAAGTAACATTTGCGATTGTGATTTAAGTATAATAAAATGAAATGTTGTTGACCATATTTTTCTTTCTAAAAAGAGAAATGTGAAAACACTTATTTCGGGACAATCTAAAAAGAAAAGTAAAACACGTAAAATGGGACGTAAAGACTACTAATGTAGTATGCTAAACCACATTTTAATATAATAGAGAATTTTTGTATGACAGAAAACCTTTAGTTTAAAAAAAAAATCTACTGGGTAGAAGAAAACAAATTAGAGTAATTAAATGTGGTACGTTTACTACACAGATTACTAAACGGTGCTTATTAAGACTTAGAAATCGAATGGGTTACCAAAGATTACAACTCGATTGAACAAATACACTAATTTGAAGAATAAAAAAGTATGGAAAACATGCGACACATATTATTAGATTCGTATAAATCAAGTGTGGTCATTTAATAATTACTCATGTAATTTCATATGATTGCATTTACAAAAAAAATACTGCATTCATAAAATAAAATATAAATCATTTAAAATCACAAATTTTATCAATTTAATAATCTTAAGTCAAAGTATACTCCACAAAAAATATGAGAAGAATTACGTACGGTGAAGATGAAGTTGTAGCCTCGTTCAAGAACATCTGTGAGGAACAGAGTTCTCCTCCACATCATCCTCACAAAACCTTCGGACAAGTAAAGCTTCTCGGAGGAGTAGTCGTCGCCTCCGCCGCCGGCGGTCCTCAGCCAGTAGCAATGCAACCGTCGGAAAACGCAGCGCTGATAAGCGGTCCGGTCGAGGGCAACAACCAGCAGCCGGTTCAGCAGCGGCCTCGTGCCCTCCCCCTCCCAGAAACCCTCAAGAAAAAGATCCAGCATTGACCGGCTCTCGCCGTTGACCGGCTCGACGTATGCGCGGTTGATTATCGTTATGATCAGCGTCTTGCTGCGCTTTATGGAAACCCTTTGCAGCGCTTCTTCAAGATGATCTCTGACCAGCGGCGCCTGCCGCCGCGTCACGGCTGAGTAGTAGTGCTGGTGGGGCAGGAAGGAAATGGAGAAGGGAGTCAGAGTGCAGAGGGAGACGAGTAATAAGAGAGAGAGCATTGCGGCGAGTGAGGAGTATTTCTTGTGATGGCGAAGACGATCTGCCTTCATGCCTGTACTTCTGGATCTCGTCCCTGCCGCATTATTATGAAGCAATTAACTAATTTTGGGTATTTTCATTGATTGATCAAAGTTTTTTAGTAGGAAACTAGGAATTAGGAAAAGGGACACACATACTTGTCCGTCCCAGGATAATAGTCAGATTTTCCTTTTGCCCCCGTCCCACTAATTGATCCATGTGAACAAAGTTATCATACCTTTTGGGTACCATAAAATCTATCTTCGTAATATCGGTATAGATCTAATTTATTCTTACTTTATTAACTACTCCCTCCGTCCCAATTTGATGATCTCGTATTTCCTTTCTGGGCCGTCCCAAATTGATAGTCTCATTTCCCTTTTTGGAAAGAAATATGTGGTCCACATCATTTCACCTTTTTCTACTCAAATCTCAACCACAACTTTTACCTTTTCAACCACTTCATTAATCTTTAAGCCCAAAAGAAATGAGATCATCAAATTGGGACGGAGGGAGTAATTATGAGTATTTTGATTGATTGATCAAAGATTTTTTAGTAGGAAACTAGGAATTAGGAAAAGAGACACAAATACTTCGTCCGTCTCGGGATAATAGTCTCATTTTCCTTTTCCGTCCGTCCCACTAATTGATCCATGTGGACAAAGTTATGATACCTTTTGGGTACCATAGAATCTACCTTCGTAATATCGGTATAGATCTAATTTATTCTTACTTTATTAACTAATTATGAGTATTTTGATGGATTGATCAAAGATTTTTTAGTAGGAAACTAGGAATTAGGAAAAGGGACACAAATACTTCGTCCGTCCCGGGATAATAGTCACATTTTCTTTTTCCGTCCGTCCCACTAATTGATCCATATGGACAAAGTTATGATACCTTTTGGGTACCATAGAATCTACTATACTTTCGTAATATCGGTATAGATCTAATTTATTCTCACTTTATCGATTTATTATCAACACATAACTCTACTTTTTTAAAAAACCGCATCACTCCAATTTGTCCCGATCTTAGAGGGCGGAGGTAGTATTATTCAAGAAAAGTAACTGTTTTTCTAAATATAATTAAGGAACCTTAGCTTCTATTTAACTAATTTCAGTTGTTTCTTATTGTAATCTATATCCAACATTTGCCTCAACTCTCACCCTACACCTGTCAAGCTTTTTTTGAAAGTCAATCCCC